TTGTTTTTAATATTTTATATCAAATATTTATCTTCGGAATAATAGAAAGTTTGAATAAAATAAATAAATTTTTATATAAAAAAAAAAAATATTGAAAATAGGTCGTTTTTTGCTTGACGAAACCCATGTAACCCCTTATGAGATATTTTACGGCTTTATAATGAAGCGCTCGAAGAACGAAAATCTAACTAACAGAAAATAAATAAGGCTCAATGTTATGTTGCCTTGTTGCAAAATAAATCGGTGGAGTATAGCAGCAATGTCAACTGGTAATAAAATCATGTGGATTTGATAAATAAATAGCCCATGGTTCGCTGTGCGCCGCGACGAAGCCGAACAGCCATTAACAAACCGACATGGAAGAAGTAGTAGTAAGTAGAAGTGAGTATGTGAGCAAAGTGGACTTATTGACAAATTACGATTCACACTTCTGTTGCTACAACAACAACAACAAATTACGATAATTTGTGGAAGTAAAAAATATAAGAAATATAGCTAATTACACGCATACTGAGTTTTATAGTCGGTTGTGTTTTATGGGTTGTTGCCATACGATGAGTCGTGGTTCCATACCAAAATACTGAAAACTTGGCATGTCAGTAAAGTTCATTGTAAGCGTCTTCGATACTCGCCAAGTAATGCCATAACCATTATTGTATTACCTGTATTCCACTCAGAATCTTGACATTGAATTTGTGGTCTCATGTTCCTTAAATTTCCCAGAAAGAAGGCGCTTAACCAAAATATAATAGTAGCCAAAGAAGCTTATTGTGACATAAGTGAGTTTATGCTATATATATTCTGCTTACATACAGTAATACAAGTATATACATATTTACCCAGTTGACATTATGTTGATAAAGCTAAATGATTTTGTTGGCATTATCTCTCACCAAAAACTGAAAACTGTTGGTGCGTTTCGCACAGTCAAAGTTCAAAGCAAATATTTAAATCTAAATTCCTTTCTTTGTGGAGCAGGCTTTTTATACCCTAACTGATCTAATCAAACACGAAATATTTTAAACCTTTTCAATCTTTTCTCTCAATATCCACCAGCCAATTCAATTATTGTAGGCGCTGAGGTGCTGCACGTATTTATATTGTTTTTGTTGTAGTTTGCACGATTTCACTTCAAAGGTTAGCCAAGCTTTGCATAGTTGAGTTGTTTCGGTATGATGGTCACGGCACGTGTGAAAAGGAGTTACCGTTACCACGTAGGACAAAATGGCAGTGTATAAATGGAGCGCCGTAAAGTATGCTTCGTCGGCTATCTATAAGTGGCTAAAGCAGTGGAAGTCTCAAATTTATGAAATGTAAGCAAGGAAACCAACAAGTTAACTTCACTTCTATGGCTATATTTGTTTTATTAATTGTTTTCTGAATTAACTTCTATTACAATTTCTATTTCTATAATCCTAAGCAGAAATAGTTTGTTTGTGTTCCCTGCCCAGGCGGCACTTTTTTGATGGCGCGTAGCAGGAAAATTAATTTAAAATTCAAACAAAAACTTTTTAAGCATCCACACATACACACACACACACAAACATCAATGCATGCGTTTTTTAAAGCGTGTTAAAACGTTTGTATGTGTATGTGCGTGGCTGTGTGAGCACGCGCCTGCCTGCTATCGCAAATTACGTCGGAAAACAAAAGAAAATTACTAATTTCACACACAATTTATTTTAGCTTATACATAGGCAATATTGTTACAAATTCCTACTCAAACATACATACTCGTACACACATAAATATGCTTGGATATGCGCAAAGAAGTCGTGCGACAACGAATTTCTGTTTGACTTCGTAGAACCTCATTTAGGAGTTGAAAATTTTAAAATTATTCCATTTGCAAATATTAGCAGTTTGTTGAGTAAATATTTTTTGGGGCTGGTGTTGGAGGCAAGACGCGCACAAGCATGAATATTCGACGCAATTTGCAGCTAATTAAATATGCAAAATGGTAGCGAGGAGTTTTTTGTGTTTGTGTGAGTTGTGTTGGACCGAAATAAATTACGGCAATGATAAAGCAAAATGTGTAGAAAATAAATTTAAAATAATTTATTGTATAATTGAACAAAGAGTTTATCACTAGCAATTTAAATTTGGCACAGCAAATAAAATAAATTCGACAACTTCTGTTGCGTTTTAGAAGCTTGTGTTTAACATAATTTCTAACCGGATTTAATGTACGCATGTAGAATTTGAAGTATAATATTAAAAGTGCTTTAAACCAAGCTGGCTTTCGTAGCAAATTGAGTGACATTTCTGAGTGTAAAGTCGCTTAGCTTTTGCTCTTAATCGTCAAATAGGTTAGTGTGATTCACCGAAGAGCAGATAGCCAATTGAGGCAGAACGCCAATTCATTAATCACGACTTCATAACTGTAAATCTCCCAACCATTACAATGGAGCAAGTGTGTACTGGAAAATCACATGTGTGCCACATACCTACACACCTATATACAAGCGTGCTCTGCGATTTTCAGCTTTTCTACGAGTATTTGCTGTTCGCTATATGTAGCGCTTCGAGTGTGTTCATCGTTTGATATTTTCACATAAACAGGTCAATGGGAAATATTCAATGTAATAATACACTTCAGCACCAATCCATAATCGCATGCACACACACATACACATAAATAAATGTGTACACATATATACTACATATACTTATACATAGCTATGTATATACTCGTATGTATATTAACACATAGCTGCATGTGTACACATGCGTCAAAGCTGTCGCCGCGCCATTAGCTGGTCGTGTGGCAAGCAGCAAGTCGAAGTGCGCTGCAGTGTTGTTGTGTCAGCAGAACTGATAGACGACAGGGAATTTTATATTGCCATGATTGCTTTCTGCAAAATAATCAATCAAACAAAATGGCTGTGGTGGCACACAAAGAACTAGATGCGGCAATACGAGGGTTGCCCGAAAGGTTTTGTTTTCACTACAAAATCGGTGAGTTGCTTTCTGTATATATACATGTGCTGACTAACAGCTTTCATTTTCGAGGTAATTTCTTTGTGGATTTGCAACTTTCTTGTTTTACAAACTACCTGACAAGTTTTACGCAAATATTCCCATTTAGACCCTTGGTACATTTTGTAAATTTGAGAAAACGAAGCGCAAGCACGCCATCTTTTAGCGCAATACCTTTTCAATATCCTGAGCGTCAATTAAGTTGTTTTGAGTAACTCAAAGTTCAAACGAAGTTTTGAAATTAAATCATGCTAATAAAACAATTTATGGCAAATATGACTCAAAAAATTATCAAAACTGATAAAGACCTTCCGATCAATACATGGCTCAGATTTTGTCGCATAATACAATGATATCCAACTCTATGGTTAACTTTGTATGACATTCTGTTGGACTAAGTACGGTACATTTCGATTCGAAAAAATACCGTTACATTGCCAAAATATTTCGGAGCACCCTCGCAAATGCACGCTTTTAATTTCCTTTGTGCCAAGCATTGACGTTCGTACACATGTCTGCAGTGCATAAATATCTGAAATTTATATACAATTATGTGGACAATACCTTGAGGTTAAACAATCTCATTACAACTCTCAAGTCAGTCAATTTTCCATTAGCTTGCGCTAATTCGACCGCTTGTGTTTGACATTTAGAAAGCGGATATTAGAGTAGTTTTGAGTTCAAGCATGCGAGCTGCTTAATTCTACTTTCAATTTTTACCTTCCTACAATAAATACTATTAAAAACACATTTATATTTTATATTTTTTATGATTTCATTTAATTTAAATATTTAAATTATTATTAAGTGCAATTTCTTGTAATTATTATCGGTACTTGTGAAGTAACCAAGTGTGTTGATGTTAATGAAGTAGCATACCATCGACGAACGCCCGCGCTGTCGACCTACATACCACATTACGACTTTCTTCAGGCTCGCTCAAGTGATTACAACTCACATTATAGCCACTCATACTTTGATTTACAGCTTTGCCAGGTAAAGCGTTGTGGAGTGTTGCTTGCAATCGGGCAAACGGGCAAAGGAGTGAGGCGTGGTAAGGCGCGGCGGAGTTGTGCAGGTGTTATATTGAAATTTGCGGTTTTTCGAGTGAAGCTAAGTTGCTTTTACTTGCACTACGGCGCACTAAGCTGCTAAAATATGCACTAATGAGATTAAAGCGCTGCTTTGTGTTGTCTAAACGCTGACTAAGTGCAAATTTTATGTATAGTGTATTTTATATTTTTTAGAACGAGCCGGGTATGAGCGAGAGGGAGAACATTGCTACGAAATTTCGTTGTGGAAATTCCATATTTTTATTGTTATTTTCTGCTGAATGTATTAATTTTAATAATTATTATAACACTTAATTGCTTAATTGCGGTCTTTTGCAAAAACAAAAATTACTTGCATTTTTTCTTTCACTGAGTACAGTAAATAATTCCATATAATTAAGTAAGTAAGTGGTTGGGTGCCGATTGAGTTATTATAGCGGTTAATTTGGGCTGTTGGGAATATGAGCGGGGGTTTATAGTGTTTTTAGATATATTGCGATCTACCAGTGTCTTATAGTCTACAATTATCTGTACTCTAATGTCCATACAGTGAGGAAATTTGCTAATCATTTAGTCAGCTCAGTTACTTACAATGTACAAACTCACTAACCAAAGAAACTAAAGCTCATAAATATTAAGCTCATAAATGCATTAAAATTCCACGTAAGAAACATATAATGTCATGTAATATATACATACATGTAGCGCTATAGTAAAAATATATATCCAAAAACTCAAGCTTACTTACACTAACATATACATATGTATACTCAACAGGATATGAAAATTTCGTTTCATGATTATTATTATTATTTCTTCTGACTTGTATGTTGTTTTTTTTATATATATACACACACATGCATACATACTTGTACTCGTACACCGTACGGTATTATGCAACGACATGCGCGCAGGTATTCCTGCTGATTTTGCTACGTTTCCGTATTTTATTGCGTGTGCTCCTACACTTATATCCTGTATTGTTGACTCTCATTATTATAATTTTCTTTTTCTTTTATTACGCATTTTTTACGCATCACAACTAGTTTCATGCACAAGCTTTTATTGCATGCAAGAAATTTTGCAAAATATTTAAGACGTTTTGCTGTTGCGTTCTTTTTGACTAAGGACAAAGAAACAATTTTAATAGAGAATTGTAATTAGTAAAATATTTTCAGTGCTTTCCTGACAGCAGTGAAGTTTCTTTTCTGAATATCATTTTATACTTTAGCACTCGTATTTGATATAAGTACAATATATTTGATATAATAAAAAACTTGCAGAATTTGGTAGGAACTACTTGCAGCATAAATGAACGGTATTTTGTAGGTAACTACAAAATACGCCATTAAAATGAATTAATGAATATGATCATTAAGAAAATGATGGACTTAATTTAATTTGCTAGTCATTTGCAGTGTACGAAATGTTGCTCATACGCAGTGTGGCGCTAAGAGCTCAAAGGGATTATTTGAAGAGCTGACAGTATGTAAGTGTATTGATGCATATTTTAATGGCATATTTTGTATCCTCAAGAAACCTAAAACTGTAGAACTAATTAATTGAATTAAATTCTTCTTCTAAATTTCTTCCAATCAAATAGATGAGTTCCGGGCAGTTAAGCATAGGAAATTTGGTGTGTATACGAATACATATTCGCATACGCATTTTATTTACGTTTTTTAACAGAATTAGACTCAATTAATTATGCAAGTATGCAATAATTACTAAAAATCTAAATTATGAGTAAAAAGCGTGGTAGAAACTAAATAGGTAAGTTTGCATATAAAAATCTATTTGAACTTACTTTGGTGGCATCAGCATGCCAACAGCTAAGTGAAAATAAAAAAACGGCTGTGCTATGCTTATTTCTAGCAGTATACAGCAAAACACTGTTACCACATGAAAGTAGTGTGTTTCTTTAAAAAAAACGCCAGATTAAAGCAAAACAAGTAAAATGAGCTATAAATATGGTATGTACAAGTGTTGTTGTGCGATGGCAAAAAGCGGAGTTAAAAATAGACATGCCAGTATGTTTGTATTTGTACGCGCTTGGCATGTCTTAACCGCCGCCATTAAAACGCGCTGCAGGCGACAGTGTGGGTGCCAAGAAAGTCATCAATCTTTGCCAACAGGGAACACGAACAATAAACCGAATGGAAAGCGCAAGAAAGGAAAATACAACAAATGCAACAACAAGTAAAAATACCGTTTGTAGTTGAGCAAAATAATATAGAGAATATATAAAAGAAATGTAGCGCCGCATATGAGTAAGAAGAAGATGCTGCGGAGTGGGTCGGCGGCTTGGCAAAAAGATGAAAAATGTATTCGAAATCTGCATTGAAAGGTCTGAGATTTTCTACAACTCACACATACGCAGGCGCTTGTCTTCACTTATGTGTAGGAATGTGTTGTTGAATTTAAAGTGTGTTTGCTCTCTTTATTGCATTTATTTTATGGTTAGACCTATATGGTTATGTCTACAGCTGCTCGGAGCCACAAATACGGGTGAGCTGGAAACACTCATATGCATGCTGCATTTGCGGATAGCGTTTGTATTTTATTTTACTTAAAATCGATTTCACAATTTACTTTTTGTGTGAGCTTTTAATAACGAAATTGCTTCGAGAATGTGGACACATATAACTGTGCTTGCTTGGGATTATTTTAAAGGCCGAGTTTTACAAAATTAAAATCAATATTTAGTTGTTATTCAAAGAATGTACAATGGCGTATATGTATTCTTTTGCCTACCATTTTTTACTAATCCTTTAAGTTTATAGTTCCACTAGAAAATGTATCTCCTTTTCGCCATTTATCTTCCACGGTTAGTTTCATCATGTGACCTCGATTGTCCTTTTCCTGTGCCTAAAAATGTAAACAGACAAATAAAGAAATGACAGCACTAAATAAGCCATAATATAAAAAATGCAGGAACGAAAAGTAGAAGAAGACAAATGTATTTAAAGTAGAACATGGTGAGCTCATCACACTGATAAGGTGCCGAAGTGGTGGTTGGTTGAATGAGACTAATACGAGGGTTGCCTATTATATTTCGGGGTTAGAGAACAAAAACAAATGATAATAATCGAAAATCAATTGGTTGTTTTCCAAAATATTCTCCATGAAGATCTATACACTTTTGCATGCCTGAAAATGCCTTCTGAACCGCCTCTTCAGGTGTTGAAAAATGTTGACATCTTAGTTTATTTTTTTACCTACAGGAATAAAAATTTGTGTGAATGTGAAAGCTCGCATTGTCGTGGTGAAGAGTTTTTGATTTTCCGGATTTCTTGAAAGACAACTTGCAAACAAATGGTTGTATACCACTCACAATTTACTGTTTTGAGTTGTTCTAGTGGTATGATTGCGACATGTCCAGTTTTTCTAAAAAACAGGCCACCATTTGCTTGAAAGTGCTTTGTGCTGAACAACTTTTGTTAGATTCGTCACATCTGGCCACACCCATACGGTCAACAGTTGTTTACTTTCGGACTCATGCGTGTAAATTCACGATTCGTAATATTGATTGTGTGCTGATCCCACTAATGTTTATAGTAGTCTCAAGCTCACGATAGGTCACATAATGATCGTGGAATATCAGTTGCAGTAACAAAAACTGATTTTAGACGACCTTCATGAAATTCATCTTGCAGTGATGCACGACCTCGATTGAATTCACCATACCGTCGATAAACACTGATCCTTGATGCAGCTTCATCGCCAAGAATTGAATTAAGTCCAATGCATAACTGTTGCTGAGTTAATCCACGTCAAAAGTTGTAAAAAATAGTTGAGCGAAAATGTTTGCGATTTAATTATATTTTTTGGGCGAGATGAATATTTTAAGTTACTGTAAACAACACAAATAGTTCTCGTATCTCAACGTACGTTCTGAGTTTGTATAGTGTCAAAAACGTTCAACTTTACGATAAAGTTGTAAGTAGCCAGATTGCAACACTAGGGTTGCCAAATCCCGAAATTTAAAAGGCAACCTACGTATAGGTTGAAATTTCAAATATATTTTAAATAAGCCAAGTAGGAACGGCTGAAGCTGATCATTTAGGAGTATGTTTTTGGTTAAAAAGTTTGAGAACGAAATTCGTTGCAGAAAATTTGAAGTGTCTTTAGCTTTTAAATATCTTTTTTACAAAAAACAAAAGTTGAAGTTTTATAAGTGGCGAGTCAACTACAAATGGAGGTCGCTCGAACCTACGAAAAAAAAAATAAAAAAAAAATTCAAAAACGCCGATCCTAATTTGAAAACTTATAACATCTATCATTTAAGGTTGACTAAAAAATATTGTATACGATTGAAAAGAAAGGAAGACGTGGATAGTTCCTATAGTTTTAAGTTTAAGAAACCATACTGTAAATATTGGTGCTGTTTGTAATTAATTTGGTTTCGAAATTCACAGGCCAATATTTTCAATTTGGAGGCTAATTTCGAAAAATGGAGAGATCACTTATTTACTGAGCACCCAATCTATCGAAAAAAATTGATTTAGTCTTCTACAAGTCTATCAGCGCCATCTACTGAGTATAGTTTCGATCGCTATATTCTTTTCAAAGTGCCGATTGATTATATAAGCCGAATTATCTTGTTATTTAGTAAATTTTTCACTGAACATGAAGGGAAAAGAACAAAACGAGGGCGTGAAAATCTTACTAAGAAACCTGCAACATAACATTTTGAGCAAATACTTTGTATAAAATCGACATGGATTTGGTTTCCTTGGAAAAATATAAAACTCCTCAAATCCAAGAGTATGTGTACAAAACATAGTGCTGAAGTGGTCGCTGGGCTCTTTAACAAATCGACAACTCTTCGCAGAACTTGGCAACGGATTAATGTTGTGTCACAATGCCTCGTCACTTCATTCTCACTACAAATTCTGGTCGTTCGTATTTGTTTTTCGCTTAACATTACCGTTATCAGTCTTTTTAATGTTTTCGTGTTTGTTTTTTTTTTTTTTCATTTCGTTGTTGCTTATATTATTGTGCTAATGATGCATTGATGCCACTGGCGATGTCTACAAATTACTTTCGTTCGATTCATTCGCTTTTGTTCACAGAATTTTCACATTCAAACCAAATCAACTGTCTGTCGGACAACTTTTCTGGTGTACGAAAAATGTATCCATTTATTTATCTATAAGTATTTGTTAAGTATCGTTCGAACATTATTGTCAATCTATTTGCTGTTATAGTTGCATTTGATGTTCAGCTTTTCTCTTCCTCATTTTGCTGGAAACCATTTTATTGTGTGGGCTATCCAGGTCATGGCAAATTGTTTTGTTTCTATTGGCTTTCTTGAGACAATGCGTCTTTTTAAAGTTATTTTCAAAAGTTTTCGCTCATTTCGTTTGAAATGAGCTTTGGTGAATATCAATGCTCAGAGGTTGATAATTCAAATATCAAATTGAGGGCGTTCTAAGTAATTTCTAGGGAAAACAGTGAAGTTAAGATTTATTTAAAATTTATTAGTGACGAAGATGGATCCGCGATGGAAGTTTGACAGCTGATTTTTGCGGGTAAACGCTTTGAAATTAAAAAAGGGCTTAAATGTATCAAAGACAAGAACTGTAAGAAAACCAAAATTAATAGAAAGCAAAAAATTTAAGACATGGAGATTTACGTAATATTTATATTAGAAAGCTTTCTTCAATTTACGTTATTTCTGGCATATTTTTAAAATTGAGTAGTTTTTATATTCAATCAACATTTTTTGGTATATGAAGTCTGTAAAGGATTTCAAAACTTAAGCTTGAGGGTGTTAGTTATATTAAATCTCATTAATATAGGTAAGCTTAAATCCACATTCATTTTCAACTAATGCATGAAATAAATAACGGTACATACAAATATATATTCGCTATTCCAAGGATGTGTGGACGTTCTCATCTGTTCACACTTTTATGAGTTTTTCCATTCGACTTAAAATTTCAGTAGCACGTAAGTGGTCAGGTGAAATTGTGTCAAAGTGAGAGTGATTTAGAGACCATTACCGGCCAACAGTAATCACCGCTATCACTCATAAGCGAATGGGCGAATGAGCAAATGGGTAATGCACAAAGCTTTTGCCTCTGCTTACAGCTTAAAGCAAAGGCCAGAAACTCATCAATGCCATTTTTGGTATTATGCACAAGGGTTTAACGGCAGTAAACTTGTTTGGGTGTGGCTTTTCACAACAATCGCTTTTCGTGAAGTTGGACGAAAACTGTTGCTGTTGCTTGTGATCACTCAGCCATAGCTTCGGGCCTAGTAATAATATTTTCCAGTCACGTGCCTAACGCATAAAACCTGACAATCTTATATCACATTACACTTCATATAATATATGCATGTGGTCATGTTAGGGTATCACTGTTTCTATGTCGTCGAGTTCAAGAGCTGCAAAATATATTCGTTAAAGATGCTTCACGGCTTTCTGCTGTCTTAAACAACACTTTAAGGTATTATTTGATTATGATCAATAAGAATTCAAGGTTTGAAGGAACGAACTCAAGTCAAGAAGCTAACGTTTTTTCTTGTTTTTTTTTCAAAAAATTTAAAAAAAAGTGCGGAAGAACTTAAATCTTTGCAGCAACCTACTAATGCAAATCGAATTGTGTGAGTGTGTGAAAATGTAATTTTTCACAAAAATAATATAGGTACGCACAACGTACCCTATTTCAGTGTTTATGGAATTCCCTTTTTACTTTCCACTTTAAAGACTGCCACCAACCGACACCTTCACACCAAATTGCTGCCCATTTGTGGCCTTCAATTGGGCGCATGACCGTCGCTTTTGCGTTTTTGGGTTTGCATTTAGAGCCATTTTTTAGTGTCATTTCCTTATAGTGGAAGCATCAACACAAACAACTGTCCTTAACAACTCATTTGAAGCATAAAAGCGAGAACACGCAAAGTAAGGACGAGGGTGGGCAAAGTTAAAGTGCTTTGATGTGCTTTCTTTCGAAAACTACGGACACCTGCTGCATAAAGTGAGTCAACACAGGTGAAGATGAGTAACGAAAGGAAGTGTGAGTTGTTTGAAAATGTAAAAACTTTCTTCCTAAGTTGCTGTAGATGTGCCGATTGTTGCCATGTGAAACCGAAGAAGATTATATTATATTACATTGAAGTGGTGTGTGGGGTGTGTCGCGTGATGGGCACATGAGTGCGAATCGCAAGTTGGCCTTTTGCTGCTGACTGCTCTATCTACCTGCTTGTTGGCGATATTTGTTTTTAGATCGAAAGCATCGTTAGCGCAGCCTGTAGCTTTTTATGACTTTTAAACAAGCTTGAAAGAGTGCTTAGACCAAAGTGTCACTCGATTGCTGTCCATCAGCGCCTACTGCTCTCTGTATGTACACAAACAAACACGATCTAAGTAGAGAACAAATTCCGTTACAAATAGTATTACAGTCTTTGTTGCTGCTTTTATTGTAATATCTACATACTACATCGTTTTGTGTGGCCAACTTCCGCCGGGCTTGTGACACGCCATCAAAAACACATTAAATACTTAAGACCACGAGAGCACTGCACGTGGCTTAGCATTTTTTACGAGCTTGTCGTTTATCTAAATTACCTACATACATCCGTCCGTTGGCTATGCGGTATTCCATATTTTTGGTCCAGCGTAAACTCCGCGTACGGTTAGTCTTTGTAGTGAAAACAACGTTCCTGTGAAAATTTTAGTTCGTAGTATTTGCATGCTACACACAGTTATTTAGAGTATATTAAAAATAAATGATAACTGTCTGATGCATATTGTTACCTAGATGTTCTTTCTAACTATTACTTAAATTGATCCAGATTTGATCCTCTTTTCTCGATTGATACTCGCACCTCTGTTAACTTTCCGCTAATGTTGTAGCTCT